ATCTGGGGTATAGTAGTAGCATATTTAGGTATTTGGAATTTAGCATTTAAAGTTAGAAATTTACCACCTTGCACTCAAAGAGGATGGTGGGGGGAATGATGATAGACCCGATCAAGATCTCATGGTTCCATCGTCCCGGGTCATCATGATCCATAGTCTATTTAGTCAAAGGAGGTAGTCGACCCAACCTGATAGAAGGATCCTTGTCGGCAATCATGGGTTGCTTCGTCAATGGGTATCTTAGTTAAGGGGATGAATTTGAATCCACTTTAGGTAGCAGAGGGCTTTGTGTCCTCCTATCGGTCATATTCTATTGATTTATTGCCCTATTGAAATTTGTTCTCTTTGATCTCCCATTAAAGAGGATCAAATGGAGTTTTTTTGCATGTGGTTGTAGGATTGGTAATATAAAATTCTATGTTATGGCTAGTCTTGTATTTTAACTTGAGTGTGCTACATGAGAGGTGCTATATAAATTAGTGATTTTTAAACCTTTAATATATTTGAATTTGTTGTCTTATTTTTTCTTAAAGCACATTAATATATGAAACCCTTTGCAGGCACACGTCTTTTGCACGAAAGAAACCTCATTTTGAAGAAATTCGTGACCAAACAAAACAGGATCAAGCCATGGACGTTCTGAAAGTTTGTTCTGCATCCTCCAATGAGGTTAGGATTATAAGCTCTTAGCAGTTCCAAAAATCTTAAACTTATTTATGTTTTTATTATTATTTTTATGTTTCTTGCTAAATTGCCATAAATATTAATTATATTACCTGCTTTCGCTTTCTAGAATTTGCAACAACTAGTAGACTTAACCTCCAATCGGGATTTTAGATGGTTATGATGTTTTCAATCCAAGGGGCAGGAACCGGCTTTTCAACTGTTTGAGGGGGGCAAAAATACAGTACAACAGATAATATTTAATTATTAAAAAAAAATATTATATATCTATATATTACGAAAAAGTTTTTTAAAAAAATTAAGCAGAAAAATTAAGAAAATGTGCAATTCAAACATGTTATTTTAAAAAGACCCATGAAAAATATTAAGAAAACTAAATGTGAAGAAATATGATAGATAATTTTAGTGTAGGCAAAGTTAGACAAAAAGAGGACAAAAAAAATTTTTTAGGGGGCAAAAAAAAAATTTAAGGAGGGCAAAAAATTTAATTACTCTCTTGATAAATTTTTTTCTTTTCTCAATATTATTTTTACTCCTTATAACAAAAAAACAAAAATTCTCTCTACTTGAGGGGGCCAATTGCCCCCCTTAAGCTTCATAGTTCCGCCCCTGATGTTTTACAATCCTTTACAGTTGAAATAATTTAAGAGTTTTTTTTTTTTGGGACATTTAGGTTCATTAAGGCAGACTCAACACATCGTATACACAAGACTCGAACTCAAGACCTCTTAATTGATAGCCTAAGCTTCCAACCAGCAGACCAAGATGAGTTATGTTAAGAGGAGATTTTGTAATTGTCACTACCAACGATTGGTTCCGCATTATTTCATTGTTCTTTCAAAAAATTTTTATTACTTGATTGTTGTTCACATGCCTCATTTTTAACTTCAACTTAGCTCGTTAGGGACGATTTTCTTTCTTGATTTCTTAAAAACACTGTCTAATACAAAAATTTCTTGAATTTGTACTAAAAACCGTTTTAACAAGCAGTACGAAAACTGACCCAAACAAAGCCTTAGATTTGATTATTTCTTCGTTTATAACATTTAGGGTATAATAGCTTTAAGGGTACAGAGTACAGCCTGAATAGCTCTGGTAATACCTGAGCCTCGACATCCTTCCCTTTTAAAAAAAATGGTTAACTGCGCCACCGGAACTTAAGTAGTTATATTGTAATTTATCACTGCCATCAACTGTGAATGGATACAAAAATATAACATTCTTAATGAACACATATAGTAGCTCTTATATGCCTACCCGTTCTAAAGGATGAGCATCAGGATTTACTTGCGATAGTGTAACAATGTTCATTAAATATTTATACACACCATTACAGACTGAGAAAGCGGAGCTGCTGCAGCATCACCAAAAAGATGGAAGTAGTGAGAGCAGTTATTTAGCTACGAAGCCTGAAGATAATCATTCCAGCCGGGGCGCGACTTCGTCTCCGTCACCGTCGAAACCGCAACAACTATCACCAGAAACTGAATTCCTTCTTTCAGACCCGAAGCTGGATTCAAGCAGCCATGAACAGCCTAAGAATGTTAGTCATCTCAATGGCTTTGAGAGGTCCAGTTCTTCCTCAGGAGTCTACAGGTACTCTGGGGATCAAATGCCCAACTATTTGACTGCTCTTGACAATGGCAGCATCAATGGACCGCGGGCGGATGCGGTTCACCGCTATGGTCTAGTGAAGAGGTCCAACTCGGCTTCAGAGTTTATTAGTTTTTCTGCAGAATGGAGGCCTAAATATACCATAGTTGACTGAAATTTTACAGCAGTTTCATTGTTACACGCTTAATAATCTATTTATTTGTGTAAATTAAACTATTTCAATTAGTTAAAGATGTGCGAAGTGATCAATGAATCAGAAGATTGGAAGCTAGTGGAAGAGTTTCTATTGTTTTGGTTGCCTTATATATAGAATTACAAGGCTTTTTTTTTTTCCTGATTCGCCAATTGTTGCTTATAGTTTCTTTCTTGTTTCCAATCAGAGCAGAATCTTATCATAACAAGCTTCCTAATAATTCAAAGTTGATCTGCGTATTGTGGCTTGCACTTTGTGAGTTATTTCCAGCAACCCCTCGGGAACAATTATTAGGTCAGGTGTCCTGACGTAGCTTTATGTTCGGACGTCAATAACATGTCGCCACGTGCTCTTACTCTTTACCGTGCGGCCCGACGACTTGACCTGGATTGGAACCCCGGGATTGCTATGTTCGCATATTGCTAGGTATTGCTCGGTATTGCTAGGTATTGCTTGGTATTGCTAGGTATTGCTTGGCAATAATGAAAAATATCGCTCTGTGAAGACCAATACCGAGCAATACCTAGCAAAACTCGGTATTGTTCGGTATTGGTCTTCACATAATGGTATTTTTCGTTATTGCCGAGTAAAATCGATCAATACCTAGCAATACCGAGTAATACATAGCAATACGCCAACATAGCAATCCCGGGGCCGTTTCGGGTCGGGTTATCGGGCGGTGCGGTAAAGAGTAAGAACACATGACACTATTTTACTGGTGTCCGAATGTAGAACTACGTCGGGTCACCTGACCAAATAAAAGTTCGTAATACGGAGGCTTCATTTGGGGCGGCTTTCTTTCTACTTTTTAAAATGATTTTTTAATTAAAAAATTTTAATTTTTGTATTAAAAAATAATTTTAAGTAGTAAAAAGCCGTCCCAAAGAAGCAAATCTCACTACTTTTATGAAGCCGTCAAATGTGAAACAAATTGCTGCCAATGTTGATATATTTTTAACAGTTTTTCACCACTAATCCTAGTGGTGATTCATGATTCATCATGTAATTTTACATAATATTGCAACAGTAGATGATATTAATGATCATTGTAGAGATTTCTTGAGAAAACAATTAATTTTTAATTATAGAGTCCTTAATCCATCATTAGTTGAAGATAATCGTACAAGTTTAGAGGTTTTATTGAAATAAATTTTGTTTTCGTTTCTAAAAATTTATTTAGTTTTTAAAAAAATTTTAATTGTTTTTTATGAAAATAAATCAACTTGTTTTTAAAATATGCTCAACAGAATTTTACGTGTTTTTACGTTGTTTTCTAAGTGCTATCATCATAGCAAAGTTTTATTGGATTTAGATTTCTTTGGGGATAATTTTCTTATTATTTTCAAAAGTAAATTTTTGATATAAAAATTTTTAAATTAGATTTATTTGTCCTAAGAAAGAAATTTAAAAAACAATAAGAAAATGAAACTTAGGCTGGCATGAAGTGTCACTGAAGTTAAACTAAAAATGTAAGCAATAACAAAATGAGATTATTGGATAGCCATTACATATTGGATAGCCTAATTTTCATCACAAATACATACATATATATGTGTGTGTGCGCGCCTGTGTGTTATGGGCCAGAATATATGCGGCGATAGAGTTAGGAATTTTTGTCTCAGCATTGTACGAATATCTAGCACACAAATAGAAGAAAAACAAAACACTGTAATTTTTATATGGAAAACTATGAAAAAGGGGAAAACAGCGGTGCCATGCTCAGTTGAAATGATTCAACAAGTGTTGAATTAGATTACAAGTGGCCGACTCGTTCCTGAAATTGAGGACGATCATATTACAAAAATCAACCGTCGGTTGAAATCCAATTACAAACCGAGATTGAAAATCCGGCGACACTTGGTGGTCGGGCAAAAATCCGACCTCAATTGACGATCGAGCGGAAGTCCGCATTGATCGGAGGTCTAGCAGAAGTCCAGAGTCGGTCGGCTGCATGGTGAAAGTCTGACGGTAGTTGATGAGGAGTCTGGTGGCAAGAGAATTCAAGTTTCTCTTCTTCCTTCTCTTTCTTGCTCGGCCCCCCTCGCATGAGAAATAAGGGGTATATTTATAGTTTTCTGAGAGTGTCATGACTAGTAAATATAATGAAGATCAAGGATGAATTGGGAGTGGTTTGAAAGGATGTCCGATGTTGAATCCCTTGATCAGGGACC